CCCAAACACCCACCAGCACACATACTAATGGTCCCACCCAACTCCCATAATAGTGGGTGACAATATGGCTGTGGGAAAGGGAGGTGTCGGGGTGTCCCAGTCTTTCTGTGTCTAACAGACGTGATTGACTCAAGCCAGCAGCAGCAGCCAGCCCACAGTCCCAAAATAGCTGAAGTCTCAACAGCAGGTCCAGATAAAACTCAGCTGTCACCGAGACCACGGGACGAAATAGAGTTCGACTCAGAAAGAGTCTCACAGAGAGCAGAGACATCACAGGGCCCTCTTAGAGTCTGCTATCCAACACATCGGAGGTGAACAAGCTTACAGAGTTGGACAGGATTTCTGTAAGTACACACAAAAAAACATTATTAAATATGAAGAGGGATCTGTGTCTYATGTTAAATAACTGAGTTGTACAATGACAGATGTGATTATAATCGTAAAAAGAAGCACAATGCATGAGGTGCTCTTTATAATTTTAAGCCTACATTACCAATATGTTAATGACAAATTTTTGAGTGTCGTATTTGTTAAACTGTAAAATTATGTGTAATACAGTTACATAAAAACATAAAAAATACATTAATTCTTTGATATTTATGGATAATCTATTAAGTATAAAAGTGAAAATCTAGTGTCTATATGTACTAAACTCTGTTATCTTTAAATAAAAGTCTGGAATATGAAAACAAAATCAACCAATCAATCAGTAAATATTGTTCAATTGATCACCAGTACAATAAAGTGAAGGAAAGTGTTCGTTTCCTCTAAAGTTTTCCAACACAACAGAAAGCTCACATGATTTGTATGTTTGAGTGTAAAACAGCAGCGTGTGCAGTCTGTAGAGTCTGGGCTCTCTTGGTATGAGCCGTCTTTTGGTGTTCGGATTTCCTTTACAGCCTGTGAATGTGCCGACTATTGACAACAGCTGATAGCAGGGAAGGTGGCGAAGAACAAATAGCAACTTGGTTTCACCGCCCTTTGCACAGCTGCCAGCAGCTAAAAATGCCCAAAGCGCCGCTAATAGCTCCTCTTCATTCCTGGAGAATTAACCCAGATCAGAGAGGTGTCAGCAGGAGTTACAGTGGGAAAGAGATTAAACTGACAAAACGTTGATCGAAATAAAAACATTTTTGATTTGAGAACACTTAGTTTTTCCAAATTCTCAATTTTTACTCGTATATGAGTGTGTGAACACGCAGATGATGACGGGTGACCGATGAGGTGGATGGATGACGATTTTAACAGAGCACGCATGGCCCTCGGTGGATTCATTCTTTCTGGTCATCCATCTATGAAAATGCTTTAAGTCCAGACTCGTGAGAGGCGCCAGTTCACCACTCCATCCTTTTGTCCTGTGAGGGGTGGGGGCTTAGGGGAGGTGGGTTTCAGTCTGACCATTATTTACAGATGAACGACCCGTGTAGCACGCACATCTTTGACCTTCAAGCTTACTGTGCAAGCCATCAGATAAGTATTTTTAATTTAACTGTAAACATTTAGTTCTAAATACTCGAAACCAAAGAATACTGCTGCAAGCTCAACGAGTTGAGGTTGAACCACAGCAGCTACAATCATTTCCATGGATTGGACAAGGTCAAGCAGTTGCATTCCTCGGGTCAGGTGTTGATAGTTTGCTGGCAAAGAGCTCATGCAAACAATGTGCAAACAATCTGTGTCACTCCAGCTGAGCTAGCAGTTGCTGTTTTTTCCCCTCCTGGGTGTGATGGTCAGTCCATGGCATGCAGAGGGATGATGAGCATCTCAGGCCATACACATGAAATCTTTTGAGTTGCTCCACTGGAAAGTAATGCTCAGTGTCATGAATGATCAGTGAGGTGCTGTATACTTTGAGCATCACTAGAAATTAAAGCTGTTATTGTTAAATATGTAATTGACGCAGACACAATATATTCCACTAACTTTAGAATATAATATCGTCCTACTTTTAAAAGTACAGGATGAGTCAAAAGTCACAGGACACCCTTRATTCAGTATGATTGATAACCAGTCGTGGGAACAGTTCCCCTAAAGCACTAATAGGGGAACTAATTTCCTGATTATTGCTTTAGGGTTTTTACTAATTTTAAAATGTATTAGTGGATTAGCACTTGCTAAATTTAGAAGCTAAATTTAGAAGCACTAACTGAGGTTTATAAATGTCATTGATCAATGTTAACGTTAACAGCTGAGGGTGAAAGCTGTCACACATTTTGTTCATATGTGTCACTTATCCACCAGGTGACAATATATTYACAATATATGAACWCWAAWACAGCTGTGGAARGTCAATGATAAGTCTTCAGAGAGCAACATGTCAACATGTGACTCATGTTGTCTGTTGAAGAATGTTCATGGGTTGATTGGGTTCTTTTAGTGCTTTAGAATTAGCTTTTGCTAAAACTTCTGGTGCATTAGTGCTTTAGAATTAGGGGACTAAATATTTGAGTTAGTGTTTTAGGGCTAGTGGAACTAAGTTTTAGATTAGTGCTGTCCACCACTGTTGATAACTTTGAGAAGGTGTCTATCTGAACATAGCCTAAAATATACCCCTCCCCCCTCCACACTCATTACTTGCTGAGGTATTTAAAAAAGTCATTTTTCTTTTTTCTTTCTGAAATACAGTACAAGGGTGTCCTGTGACTTTTGACCCAAAAAGTGACTAAAAAGTGTACAGGTCAATATACTTCGCTGTTGTTTTATTGAAATATTAAATCGTATTCTGTGGTTAAATTTCAATCTGCTTTTATTTATCTCTTTGCAGATAGAGCAAGTAAAGGTGGCACCCAGTCAAGACAAAGCAGAGACAGGACATCTACTCCCTCTTCAGTGAGAGACAGATTAGCTCTTTATCTGTCCAGAACAGCAGCCACTGACTCCACAGGAGACTTGATACAACCAGTGAGTTCCTCAAATGCTTCTGATTCCTGACCACACAACGAGCTCCAGGACCTCAGCAGGGACAATTAGCAACAGCACCATTTAAAATAAATCCCCTGCTCACATTAAACACGTGTAACACAGTGAGTGTTAACCAAACTAACCTAAGTCACCTGTTTTTTTTTTCTTGTTCAACAGGAATTCACAGCTGCTCCAGGCAAAAAGTCTAAAAACAGCAAGGTACCGTAAAGCTGACACAGCATTCCTTAACTAAAACATGTTCTCTTTCTAACGTGTGCTGTGTGGTCCAGTTTGCTTACCATGTTGACACAACAAAGGGTTCCTAAAAAAGTTTCATTGTTTTATAGCAGACGCTCATGAAAAGTAAAACGTGGTGAMATAAAACAACTTCGTTGTAATAAATAATAAGCAACACAATATTTAGAAAAAAAGACATGAACAGAGTTGAATGGGCAGTTTTTCAGCAAATTTATAAATTCAAATACCAAGAGTACTATGAAGACTGAATATTAAACTTTTAAAAGCATATCTCAATACATTTAATGTCCCAATAAAAAAATGATTACTCAACTGAAGTATAGACAACCTAAATTCTTAACTAAGTAAAATAACGAAGCATTTGTACCTCATTACTTTACACCTCTGTTATTCAGGATGTAAACATTACACAGTGAATTTGAAAACACTTCTTTTATTTAGAACAAGATGGACATCTTTCTTTACAGCCCCTCTGAATGGATCAAATCAAATATATACAGCATGACGTATACTGAAGCAACATTTTAAAATAAATACAAATAAACATGGAACTGACAAAAATTTCACTTGAAATGTAAACATTAATACATTCAATGGAGCATCTATACCAAAATCCCAGTATTACACTGGAGTCAGGGCATTTTGTACAATTACAAGTACTTGTAAAAATGCTGATATCAGACACCAGGACACCACTAATTTTAACACTTTTAAAAGTTGCATTTTACTGTTTTCACATCACTTCTGTTTTAAACTTTGCTACACTTTTTGAAATGGAATGGCTCACATAAAATATTTGCATTTTTTCCCTGTAGATTAGCAGAGGTGCCCAAAGTGGGACACGTGGGCCAAAACTGGCCCGTCAAGCTATTTGATTTGGCCCATCAGCAGTTGTCCTGGTTATTAGATTGTAATCTCCTGTCCTATGTAGAAATACTCACTTTTCAACCATTGGTCCACCTATAGGTACAAGGAGCTGATGTCAGATAGTCTAAACTCATGGTACTCATGTAGTCTTTGAATTATGTTAAGATTAAACATAAAATACAAGTAACTACAAGAGACATTTAGATTAGATTTAACCTCATATCTAGATTTGCACACCTTATAATACCTCATATACTCAAATTTTAAATTATGAAAAGTCTCATGAGACTTTGCTGCCCAAGCATTGTTGAATTTTCTTCGTGTCCATGGGCTGAAAAAAAAAAGAATGTGGGCAGCTGCACTGGCTGTTGGCTTATTCATAAAAATAGTATTTACATTTCATGTATTAAATTACTGCATTTGGCCCATGGCCCTCGGATTAATTTTAATTTTGGGCCTCTCAGGAAAAACGTTTTTTATTTTATTTTGGCCCGATCAGGGAAAATGTTTGGGCACCCCTGATTTATAGGAATGAGTTGAAAAAATTGCAGCTCGAGTCCCAGATCGAATTCTCTGAACATTCTGTTTCTGGCMTTCGAAAAACAGCATGCGTGTAATTTCTGCCTACTAACAGCTGCTAAGTGTTTTGTGTTTTTAACTTTGGCGTGACAGAAGATGATTTGCTGTGATAAACAAACAAACAAACACAAAGGAAGGTAAAGTATATCTTCTAACTATATGCATGCCACTCTAAATAATAATCCTAATTTTGGTGATTGCCTCCTTATGCTGTTACTCCTGTTTGTTTTCTTTTATTCTAAGATGGCTGATGCTGCCAGAAAAATCACCATCTCACAACCAGCTCATGATGAAGATGACCTGCCCCTCCCCCCTCCTCCTCCTCCTCTTGTACCACCCAGACCCCTTGATTATGAAGGGCCTTCGGTGTTAAGTAACCTCCCTGTGCCTCCACCTAAGGAAAGCTTCACCACGTTCTACCAGCAACGACAGAAGAGTGAGCTAAAGAGGCTCTTCAAACACATCCACCCTGACCTTCGAGCCAGCCTTGATGATGTGGTGGATGATGAGATAATGAAAGCCGTGCAGTCAGAGAGCGCTCAAGCAGCAGACGCAGCCTACCAGGGTGAAGTGCAGTCCATGCGGTGGATCTTTGAGAACTGGACTCTGGATAATATCGGAGATCCTCATGAAACCAAAAGGCTCCTGCACACTGAAGAGTTAAAAGGTGGAGATGTCAGAAGCACCTCCTCAAAGTTTGAGTACGTTGACAGCACCCAACACATGCCTACTAAGAGACAAAGTTCTGTCAGAGGAGATGTAAGAACATCAACCTGGCTGTTTGAGACCCAGACTTTAGATTCTCTCGGTAAATCCAAGGATGAAGAGGGTGAATTGGTAGAGGCAGTTCTGAAAGAACCCATAAAGTCTGGAGACGTAAGAGGGGCTCGGCTTCTCTTTGAGACGAAACCACTGAGTGACTTGGGACGCTGCAATTCCATTGAAGACTGCAGCATCCTGAAACTGAAATCTGAGCTTCAYGAGCAGAAAGGAGACGTCCAGAAGACCGTGAAGCTGTTCCAGACAGAACCCTGCTGTGCCATCAGAGACAAAAATGGCAATATCCATGAGATCAAATCCATCTGCAGGGAGGAGATCAACAGTGGCAAGTTCAGCACTGCCCGTTGGCTTTTTGAAACACAGCCTTTGGACACGATCAATAAAAGAAGTGACAGGGTGAAAATAATTCGAGGTATTTCTTTGGAGGAGGGACAGAAAGGAGGTTTTGACCAAAAGAGGTGGATGTTTGAAACTCAGTCATTTGACACAATACAAGAGCACGTAGAAGACAAGTTTGAAGGAGGAGTGGTTGACTTTGAGTTGCAACACATGACCCCTGTAAGAGAAAATGCTGCAGAAAACGCTCCGGAGAAAGAAGCAATCGTTGGGGGAGATGTGAAGACTTCTCTGTGGCTGTTTGAAACTCAACCCATGGAAACTCTTAGTGACAGCTATGAAGTTGGGAGCCTGAAGAGAATCATCATTTCTGCTGAAGAACAGGGAAAAGTAAAAGGCAAAAAGCTGATATTCGAAAATGGTAACATTCAAACGAACACCTCAGTGCAAAAACAGGAGATTGAAAAGGGTGATGTGAAGGGATTCAAACAACTTTTTGAAACACTTCCTTTGGGTGAAATTGCTCATTTGAAGGAGGAGATAGTTGGGATGAAAGAAAATACTTCCTCAGGTGATAATGGAAAATGTGACAAGGAGACAACTCCTTTATACGCAATAAAGGACAGCTTTGGAAACCTCCATGAAGTCACAACAGTCAGCCGGGAAGAATTCATTCAAGGAAAAGTCAAAAACTATAAATGGATGTTTGAGACCAAACCTTTAGATCAGATGACTGATGGAAAAGAAAGTGTTGAAGTAATCAACGGCATCACCAGACAGGAAGACGCCATGGGTGATGTGAAAACGGCAAAGTGGCTTTTTGAAACCCAGACAATAGATGGGATCCACTGTAAGTTCAATCAGACAGGTCAAAGCTCTGTTGTTAAAGAGGAGTCCTGCAAAGGTGATGTCAAGACCTGCAAATGGTTATTTGAGACACAACCAGTGGATATGCTGTATGACAAAATGGAAACAGCCAAAGACAAAGAGTCTGTCGATGCAAATGTCAAGTCTATTACTTGGCTTTTTGAGTCTCAGCCATTGGACAGCATCAAAGACGGTGAACCATACAGCTTGAAGCTGTGCAGCACAGCAAAGGATTCTGTCAAACCTGACGTTGGAGTTCAAACAGTAAAACATATTTTTGAAACAGAAACTTTGGACAAAATCAGAAAGAATTCGGATTCAGAACCAAATTTGCGATACATCAGTCAGGTCAGCCTCCAGACAGGAGACGTCTCACGTGTCAAAGAACTTTTTGAGTCCCAGTCTCTTGATGAAATAGGGTCAGAAACTGTGACATTTGAAGGGCAGAACCAAGAGAAACACACTGAAAAAGGTTCAGTGCATAAATTTACATGGATGTTTGAGAACTGCCCCATGAATCGGATCAATAAAGATCACGATGAAGAAAATAAAGAGACAGTTGATGTCATCGAGAGAGGTGATGTACAAAATAAAAAGTTTATATTTGAAACCTCCACACTGGACAAAATCCAACAGGAACCCCTTGAGCAGAGATTGGTGTCTGTGGAAGAACCTGTGAGCAATGCTGATGTGAAGTCCAGCACCATGATGTTCGAGTCCCTGCCGCTGTATGCCATCAGAGACAAAGAAGGGCAGTTCCATGAGGTGACAACAGTCAAGAAAGAAGAAATCATGAGTGGTGACGTGAGAGGAGCGAGGTGGATGTTTGAGACAAAACCTCTTGATGCCATCAAGGCAGAGAATGAGGTTTATGTGATCCGAGCTGTCACACAAGAAGATGTCAAGAAAGGAGATGTCAAATCAGCCAGATGGAGGTTTGAGACACAACCTCTGGACTCTTTTACTGATGAGGACAAACCTTCTGCCATGGCTACTGAAGACTTTGGAAGCTGCGATGTCCAGCTCAGAAAACAGATGTTTGAATCTGATCAATCATGCAAGAAGTTTGCAAGAATGGTTAGTGTCACTGATGTACAGCAAGGGGATGTAAGGACCTCCACCTGGCTCTTTGAGAATCAGATCCTTGACAGTCTGAAAGGGGAACCTCAGGAGCCAAGTCCAGTGAAAACAGTCCACAGGGAAGACAGTCAGAAGGGAGATGTGAAACGCTGCACCTGGCTGTTTGAATCTCAGTCACTGGACAAGATCAAAGAGCCTGAAGAAACCTCAGACCAAGCTGTGGAGGAGATCCCCAAAGCTGATGTGAAGTGCACTACCTGGCTCTTTGAGACCACTCCACTTGATAAAATCACTGCCAACAGTGTGGCTGACACCCTTTCATACTTGCATGAAATGAARGTCATACACTCAAGTGGCATTATAATAGAATCAAATGAAAGAAGGAATGTTAATATGGCAAAATATCTGCTTGATAGCAGCAAAGGTGTACAGATCCAGAAAGAGGACGTTATTGACGGCAACATCAGGAACATCATGTTACAGCTTCTGCTCAAACCAACAATCAAACCACAAATTACTCTTCTGAGAGAAACCGAGAAGAGTAAAGTTAACACCACAGTAGTAGAGCTTCCAGTCTTTGAGTCCACTCCCAACATTGAAAGTGATCAAAGAGTACAAAACATTGTACAAAGAATAGAAGAGTTGCTAATTTATGAGACGGATTTCAAAAAGGGAATCATAATGCAAGAAGTTGGAGAGGGAAAAGCAGAAATGTCAGTTTATTCACTTGTCAGCAAAAATGAAACCAAAACTGAGAGTCAAATTATGGAAAGGGGAGACGTAAAAACTACAATTGGAAATCTGCTGGCCACTGCCAGTGGTCAAAGAACTTCCACCAGAGTGGATGTAAATGAGAAAGGAAATGTGAATTTGTACAAAAGTTGCATTGAGAAAGGCGATCTGCAGTACTTGAAGAGTCTTCATACCGAGACGTTTGAATGTGAGGCTGATCACAGCAGTGTGACGAGGGAGCAGGTTGAAACAACTCAAGGTGGTGTGAAAGAAGCCAAGAGAAGCCTCTGTCAGCAAAAAGAGCAGGTTGAAAAAACCATTTGTGATGTTTTGCCAGGAGACGTAAAGAACACCAAAAAGGTCTTTTCATCTGAGTGCTTTGTCAACGTGGACAGCTCCMTTCCGAAGGAAGAAATAATCCCAGGAGATGTCTCATCAGCAAAGCAACAACTTGCTGTGAAACAACCTTTAACTGTGGACAAAGAGGACGTTGTACCCGGGGACATCAGGGCAACAATGGAGTCATTGGAACGTGCAAAGCAGCAGAGCATGTTTGTGGAGCGGGAAACCATTAAACCTGGGACAATCTATGACATGGACCTGTCAGCTCAAGACCCTGTAGTAGAAGAAAGCCAATCACAGAAAGAAGTTATCATATCTGGAAATGTGAAAGCAGCAAAGAAGTCTCTCGAAATGGCCAAACAGCAGAGCCTTCATGTGGAGAGGGAGGTCATTGTTCCTGGAAAAATATACAACCTGGGAGTGTCAGCGCAAGAAGAAAGCTCCTCCACGGTGGCACAGTCTACGAGCTCATCCTCCTCCAGATGCGAGCAAGTCAAGACTTTTCCAAAGGTCAGTGATGCAGAGACGGAGCAGGAAAGCAAAGCTTCCTTTGAGACTTGTCAACAAAATGCAGTTGTAGTCAGAAACTGTCAAGAACAATCACTGCCACCTTGTATTAGCTGTGATTTTAATAGTCAGACTACTGAAGATGAGACAGAAGTTGTTAGAGGAGACGTGAAGGCAGCAATTAGGTCTCTACAGAGTGCAGCAGCAGAGCAGAGGTTTATAGATAAAGAAAACATTGTAAGAGGAAATGTACAATTTGCTTTAGAATCTCTTGAGAAGTCTAGTGTCAATGTGTCTAAAGGAGACTTCAAAGCTGCAATGATTTACAGAAATTCAGGCAAGGCTTGTTCAGGGAGGAGCAAGACTGTTCACAATCAGTYTGTTGTGGTGTCCGTGCCTCCATCTGACACAAAACTATCTCCTTCAATTTCAGTAACCTGTGAAGGACAGCAAAGCATCTCAACACAGATTTCAGCCCCCAACCCTGTAGCAAATGGAAACCCTAAATCACCCAGCCTTGCAAGAGTAACMCCACCCCAACTCCTAGAAAAGAACGAGAAAGCAAAGGAGCAGAAGCCAGCTTTACCTCCAAAACCACAGTGGATGAAATCTGGCATTATCGAAGGACAAACAACCTCACCAACAAGAAGCCCTAAAGCTGCCTGTCCTGTTGAAGATAACGTAAATGTGGTGTTTCCTCCAAAACAAAACCAGCAGCATTTGGCATGCTCAAAGGACAAACAACAAGAAATTACAACACATGSCAAAAACAGTGCAAAGCAGTTACATGAGACCTTCCAACAAAATTCTGTTGCTGAAGATCTGACAACGAACACAGCCATTCAGGAAAATAAGAAACAAATCAAAACAGTACCATTCACAGAGAGGAAATCAAATGTTCACCTAAATCAATTACACAGTGAAGAAGTTGAAATAGAAAGAAATGTGATCCAGAAAATAAATGCAGCAGAGGAGATACAGATGTGTATGCAGAATTATGCAGAAGATGGGAAACATGAGATGAGCTTGCAAACTGCTTTGCAAAACTTTGAAAGAAAAGACAGAGAGGATTTGGACAGAAGAAATTGGCTGCCAAAGAAGGTAAAAGTGATTTATGACAACAGACAAACTGACAAAACCCCTGCTGAACAACACAAACACACTCCTGACCCTCCAAGAGTCCAACACAGAACTCAAGTGGAAACATCACAGACTGGTATTTTCAACGAAGCAACCAATTCCCATCAAAACGACTCCAGAGAAAACAAAGAACCTGAAAATAAAGTTGTTCTACGAGAGAAAAAAGCAAGGGAAACAGAAGAGGAAAGAAGACAAAGGCTTTCTGTCCACAAGGACGAGATCATGAAAGGAAATGTGAAGGCAGCCATGGAAATCTTTGAAAATTTAAGGAAACGAGAAGAACTCAAGGGACTCCTGTCTCAGGTGCAGGAGATAGAAGGCGAGGCCTGCAGTGTGGATGCTAGCTCCCTGAAAACATTTTATGAGAATGTTCCCACTTGGATGGTTACACCTGGTAGAAACGCAAAAAAATGTAAAAGAGAAGAAAAGAAAGTTCAAGCAGCAGCACAGGATGATGATCTGGAAAGCATCTCCTCAGTGGAAATGGCATTTGAGGATCTGGAGAAAGCAAGCAAGGAGATAATGAAGCTCAAGGAACAGACAGTGGCCAAACTGGTTGACATTGAAGAAACAATTAAAAAGGCTTTGTACTCGGTGTCCAATCTCAAATCTGAGGCGGACATTGCTGGTTTGTCAGGACTGTTTGATGAATCTTTAAAATCTGAGCAAAACCTTCAACCCGCCAGTAACATCAGGAAGATAAGTATTGTGTCGAGCAAAAGCAAACCAGGCTCCACCAACGAGACCAGAGATTTGGATCTTTCTAAAAAAGAAAAGCTCAAACAAGCAAACAGTAAGTCACTCATTAGACAGTCTTCCACCCAGTCGTCCCCATCTTTCATCTCCATTCACTCTTCTAGAAAGCCGACTGAACAACCAAAGCCGACCATGTCAACGTTCAAACCAGAAGCGACGAGTTGTCATAAAGCAAACTACAACTGTGATTCGGCTGTTCCCGAATCCTCAAAGAAAAGTCTCGTTCCTGAACGCAAAGTCAGTGTGCTCGAAGTACAGGCTGTTCCAGAGAAACACACGGGAATAACTGGCACCAAGACGGTCAGTGAAACATATGAGGAGAGCGACGGCTTTGGCAACGTCTATGTTTCGTCCACGACTTCCACGTTCATCACCAATCACTCTGACGGTAAACCATCTGCTCTGTTTGGAGTAGTAGGAAGTCCAGCCAGATATGAAGTCATGACATCTCCTTTAATGCAAAGATCAGGGCGTCCTTTTGAAGATAAACTGTCGAGCAACACCAAGGAGGAAGGGACGGTGTTTGTAACATTCAGGCAACCAAAAGAAAAGCAAAAATAAACCACTCGCCAGTGTGACTGCAGTTCTGTCAATGCGGCATGATAGTGTTTAGATTTTTTATGTTTTATTAAAAGGTTTTTATATGTTTTGAACTGGTATTTAAAGGAAAATATTCACTTTTAATAGAAAAAATGTTTTATAGATTTTTTTTTACCATAACTTCCTGATAAAATGCTAAGTTTGTGTATTAAAGCCAAACATACTGGTTACACTGTATGTTCTGTCAAACTGTCAAATAAAATGATTGCTTTTAAGCCATGATTTCTAAAAATCCTCTTTTTTTCTGATTGATTTTGATTAATCGTCAAACAAATTGAATGAAACTTATTCTGAAGTAAACATTTGTAATAAAAGCAGAAACATATTTAAAAAATCAGCAAAAAAGTTCATTTTTTAAAATATTTTCTAGATTAA